TATTTTATTTTAACGACATCAAATTAACCTAATTGGCAGCCATGTTTTACATATCTTTAAATTGCTTTTTGGTTCTTAATTCGATCAATGCTTTAGATCCAGATAAGAACTCGGATATTTTGCATTAAATTATGCATTTAATATGTTTTTTACTACCTTCAGCAAGGGTCTTGGCATGCCACTGAGTCAACTTTGTTGTTATAATTTAAATTTAAAATGAATATTTCCATTTAAATGGACCGTGATCGCCGAGTGGCTTCAGCATGCGACTCTTATCGCTCGTAGGTTCGATCCCCGGCTGTGCACCAATCGACTTTCTATGTGTGCATTTAACATTCGCTCGAACGGTGAAGGAAATATCGCGATGAAACCGGCTTGCCTTAGGCCCATAGTCGACGGCGTGTGTCACACAGGAGGCTGATCACCTACTTGCCTATTACATTGCCAAATCATTAAACAGGAACAGAAATCTGAGGCCCAGACCTAAAAAGGTTGTCGTGCCACTTATATATTTATTTTATTTATCTTTTAAATGGTATCGTACTAATCATAAGTAATATTTTAGCAGTACTAGATTCTGTTATTTTGTAGTAACATTAAGAACAGAAGAGCATCGCAGTCACAATTTACTTCATGAATCAAATAATTATTATCGTGATAGGTCCGGGAAATAATGATTTGAAAGAAATTTTTCCTAATTAACGATGTACTAAAGTGAATGTTCTATAAAGTATTTTACTAAGTATAGTCAACAAAAAAATCATTTAAGCAGATATAATTTTAGGAACAAAGAGTGAGACTTAGTGGCAAGTATGTCTTCCGTATGTCAAAATGATACTCTTACTTACGCTAAGACTGAATTCTTCACAGAGGTCTCATATAAAAATAAAATATATATATATATATATATAAAATATAGCTTTCGGCAATTAAATTGTCCAGTCATGAGAAAAATATTTTTACATTCTTCGTAGTAACGTGCCTTGACCGTAAAACGACTCCTCCAACCACACAAAAGCTGGTTCAGCTAGCCAAAATCTATTTCAAACACTGAAATCAGTTACGCGTCCGGGGGACGTTGATACAAGCTGTTCAACAAGGAGTACACTTGTATATGTGATTTCTGCAATTACAGCCGGCATATCTGGCGGTAATTTGCCGCGAGCTACACTGATCGGTTTCCGAGAAAAGCAGTTGCAAGAGCGGTACGATGCAGTTGGGACGATTAAAGCACTAATTACCGAGCGCGGTGCCGACTGGCAACGCAAAAAACTTGCTGCCAAGTTTCTACGCAATGCAACAACTTGTTTGCTACAGTACTTACATGTTCTGTCTGATAAATTATTTCGTTCACTTGAAGAAATTATTGTATAATGCTACAGCTTCGCATGCTTGGTACTTTATTGTTTAAAATACTATTTTTGATACTAGTAATAGTTTGAGTTTGTTGAAACAGATACACATACTGAATACACTTTCCTTGAATATGTTATAAAATATACAATAATATGTAATTAAACCGCATGGTAAAATTTTGACCTTTAAAAATAACACATAATATGTTCTTGTGCATGCTATTTGACTCTGGTGTTGTAAACAAAATATTGGTTAAAACATATTAATATAAAGTAGAACAATGGCACTATTTACTCTCATATCAACAATTGAATATTTACAGCATTTGTAGAGAGTTTCTCCCTCCATTACACACTGACATAAAATCAACATCATAGAATTAATTCATTACACAACACATGGAGTGTGAGAGCCGTCATTGGCAACACTAAGTTATGGTCCCGGCCATCAATGAAATATATCTATGTATGCAATAAACATACAAACAAACATTGCTATATCTATCTAGAGTAGGAAATATTCACAAACATGCCTGTAGTGTTGTAGGTAATATTTTTTGTTTTTATTTGTCGCTTGGTTGCAAATTTTACCATATGACTCAACAAAGAAGTGTAAGTTACATTTGTTGAAGTATGTGATTCTTATTGAATGATTCTACATACTATATTCATAAATATAAAATAAGCAAAAAATATTTCTTTCACTTCTTCAAGCTAAGGAAGTAAAGTGAAGTTGCCCTGTCTATTCATTACTCTATTTACAAGCCTGATATTATAATAATAAAGTTTTATTAACTTAATGATTATATCAGCAGAAATAATAAAATTAAAATGTCAATTGATTTTAATTTTAGCTGAATGAGTAAAACTATGAACTTGTACAAGTTCATATTTTCTAGATTTAAATTACTTAAAAACAATAGGAGTTTTAAAAATATGTCACATATTTATATTGACAATAATACTTTCTTACATGTATATTTCATACAGAAAGCACTGATTTGTAAAATATTAATTTATTATTATTAATTTAATACCATGTGGGTCTTTCCATATATATGTATATTAGTTACAACATAGGGAACTAAGGAAGAAAAATCTTTCAAAACTTAATATACTAAAATTTTACTTGAGATTTTTTATTTTAATTTAAGAAAAACAATGCTATTTCTCTGTAAATACTTTACATATTTTGAAATCTTAGCCTTTAGGCACATGGCTTTTTGACCTTGATAAGACTTTATATTATTAGTATATAGGTAAATATGAAGTATGTATGTACATTTTCTCAGAAAAAGGAAAGTAGAGTTGATTACTCACCAAAGTATACAGCGGTAAAATCCAAATTACCAAGAATTCAGTAAATATATTATACACTTGAAAATATATCTACGACACAGTTTATACACTACACATATTGAATTCTTCGAAATGTTTTAGTTCATTTACGATGACTGTTGTTTTAATAAACGTGCAATCCTCAAATTGTTGTTAAATAACTTCAGAGTAGAAAACTCACACACTCCTCGCACCACCGACAAAACGCAACTGTGAAAAATTAAATTGTCACAGCAAATGTGAAACGAATGTTACCGGTCAAACAGTACTGTCACTGTCAAGTTAATAGGTACCGGAGATCCTGCGCACAGAACATTGCTGTTCTCGATTTAAGCTGTCGACAAAATTACAATTCATTATTCGTATAAATCTTTAAGTTTAACTTTAATTATATTTAAGTATAATATAATTTATAATTATGATTTATTATGGGACTATATTTATTTCTTTTATTTATTATGAATGAAGAAAATTTGAAGTTCTTCCAAATGCAATTTAATACGCAAATTTGGGAACGTGTATCCAATATTTTAAAATAAAAATGGGAATCTAAAAATTTATGGCGCGTTAAATTTTGCTCTTCGTTCAACGTTTTATTGGTGCAACTACTTATGATCCATCCCGTTGTAGAAAACATTATCAGCCGCCATTTCACTTCAGCCTAAATTGTAAAATTTGAAGTACTAATTTTCAAACTGGTCTTAGTTTGAAAAGTTTGTATTGCTAATCTTTTTTCGCATGTGTGATGAAAAACTTTAAGATTGGGTTAGGTTAGGCCAATGGTGTTAGTTGGTCAGTAGCGCATCAGACGCTCTTGATGGAGACACAGTTTAAGGGGAACTGTTACCGTGCCTCTCGTACATAGACAGCAGATGGGGCTGTTGGGTTTTAGTGGGTTTGCACCTCACGGACTGAACCCCACCCTCCCCGCGTCACTTTTGTTGCCCTGGGGGGTTTATAAATTGATTTCCCTATATTAAAAAAAGAAAATAAGACTCACTAGTAGTCTCTACGAAAAAAAATACGCGGTTGCGGTAAATGGACGGTCGATGCATTGGGTCTTTATTAATTGTAAATATCACAACATACCTGGGGCCTTAGTCAAGATGCCTTAACAGTAGTGTATGTAGAACGTCAAAAACTAAATTTGTATGAAAACTTTTCGACACGAACTGTCATTTCCATACAAATTAAGTTTTCGACTTTCTACATACACTACTGTTAAGGCATCTTGACTAAGGCCCCTGATCATCAAATCAGTATTTTTTAAAGTTTTAAAGAACAATTTTAGTTTTCTACATAATTATATATCAAATGTGTTTTTTTTAATAGAACAGGGGGCAAACGGGCAGGAGGCCCACCTGATGTTAAGTGATACCGCCGCCCATGGACACTCGATGCCAGAGGGCTCGCGAGTGCGTTGCCGGCCTTTTAAGAATTGGTATGGTTTTCTTTTTGAAGGACCCTAAGTCGAATTGGTTCGGAAATACTTCAGTGGGCAGCTGGCGGCTAAAACTGCCTTAAAAAACGCTCAGTATTGTTACGTAGGAACCTATAGATGACGCATGAAGAGTATCTGGTCACCCACAACACATGGATGTCTCTAATGTGGGAGATACCTATATATTACCCAATAATTATGTCCTTTTTAAATAAATAAACATTGATAAATCTGTAACCCAGCCCCATCTATACTCATATATATCTTTTTTATTTTATTAGTTGGCTGGCATTCTGGGGTGGCCACGAACCACGCGGCCCCGATTTAGATTCTCGTTGGAGGCTTCTATGAAGGTTTTTTTTATGGCTCTGGCACGGCTTGTGCATTACCCAGCGTCAAGTTTATGATTTTTATAATTCGTGCTTGTCTTAGAAATTCGACCGTGTCCTCCATGTACGGTTTAAGCACTCGCCCGGTACCGCACAACCCTCCCAAAAGCCGAGAACAAATTTAAATTAAATTAAAACTTGCCCTCGAACCGGGAATCGAACCCGGTACTCCTCACCTAGCTGCCACCTAATAAGACCGCTAGGCTATGAGGCCCCCTTCTATGAAGGTTTCTACCGAATATTTAATTCATAAAAAGAACTTATCTCAAGTTTACTGCAATTGTTATAACTAACACAATGTTTTTAGAAAAGTTTATGTAATTTATATATTTTTGTAAATATACTTGCTATTTTTTACATTAAATATTTTTTCTAAGATTTGGTTTACAAACTAAGTATGTTTAAATAAAAAATCGTCAATATATAATTTTATATTCCCACGACAAAATCTTTTACCAAGCCTAGTTCCCACGTAACTTATTTTTTCTTCACTTTAGTCTGTGGTTTTTTAGCGTTCTTCAACTGTTTGAAGACACCGATACACCGTCGTACCATGACACCGCGCCACCACGCTTGAATGCGAGTGGCCGCCAGACGGGAGCGTTCCTCACGAGCGAGCCTCGCCGACCGTTCCTGTTTGAAGCTCAGCCAAGCGCGCATTTCCCCTGCATGCAAGTCGTACTGTAAGGTATAAATTATCTTTATAGAATGACATTTGCCATTACTAAACGAACTGACAAAAAGTTTACAGTAGGTTTAAGTTCCTATAGCGCGCTGGAAATAGCTGGGTCTTTTGTAAATATTTTAAACTTTTGGTTAATGCTTAAAAAAATCGTATGTTTTGTTATTTTTTCTATATACCTAGTGTGTGTATTCTTTTGTTTCTTTTCGACTTTCATCCGGATCGAAGATTCTCCGGCTATTCACCAATGGACTTTCTGTCTATGTATGCGCATTTTCAAGAAAAACATCGTGACAAACCGGCATATCTTAAACCCAAAACAGTCGATAGTGTGTGTCAGGCACAGAAGTTTGATCACCTATTTGCCTATTAGAAATGATCACGGTTACAGGGGGTGTGCAAATAAGTATAGAGTTGTTAGACTTACCAGCTTGTGCAATTCGGTACGTCGATCAACAGCTTCTTTGAACTTCTTGGATTTAGTTTTTAGTCTCTCATTTATGTCAACAATATCCTTTATATAACGACATTTCCAATACTCTAACGATTCTTGGCTCTCCTAAAAATACCATAATTCCTCATAGTTCCTTCCAACTCTCTCAACTGCCACTGTCAATACTACAGAGCGTCATGGTTTTATTAAAAACAAAAGTTTTTTTTTATAAAACCATGACGTTTTAACATTATGCCAGTTTCAAGTAAAAGGTAGCGAAACAAATATAATTTAATACGGAGTCTAGAGATTATTGTTCCAAAAAATGCCATTATATATTATGTATATCAAAAAATAAATCTAGTAAAAAAACAATTGAGAAAAAGGGTTTAGTCGAAATACCAAAAAGTTAATACATATATAGTTTTAAATCTCTTTGCTTATCTCGTTCTCATAGGTCATTGTTTTTAGAAAGATATTTCTTTTTATAAGTAGTTTGACACTTATAAATGTTCTATTGAGTTAGATTCTGTCCGGTTAAAGTAGAAAAAATCAAAATTCATAATATTTATGACGAATGTTTGAAATACTAATTAAATCGAATATCGTAGAAAATACCTACAAAAGGATTTCTGCGAATCTTACTATTTGTGACAACACAAAGCGCGGAAAAAAATTGTGGTCCAATTTGCTTGCTTGCATTAGCATTTTGTTAAAAAAAAATTATACAATGACGCTATGATATTTAGTGAAGAAATAATATATAAGGCGAATAGCCAAATAGTTAAATGGCGGGAACTGCAGCTGTCATATGACATATTTAAAAAACGGTATATTTTTCTTTTAAAAATAATTTTCTATGAGAGCTTATTACATATTATCTGTGCATTATGTATGTAACCAAAAGTAGAACAAAAAACCATATCCTATTTACATCGTAAGAAAATAAGTCATGTCCCGAACGTCAAATTTGAAAGTGCCATGTCATGTTCCTAGAAATAGTTTTAATTATAGTTCAATTTACACACTTTATATTTGAATGTCTACCAAAAAAACTGTACTAGGAAGTTAGGCATACCAAGAGTTAATATAAGATATATTCTTGTATTCTAGCAGTGATTGAAGAACAAAAAACACATATTAATAAAACAGTTTGTTGAATTTTCTATTTTACAGATTTGAACTTTATTTTTAAATTTCAGTTTTATTTTACACTATTATCTAACGCATTGTAATGCATATGTACTTATAATGAATAAAGACATTTTTGTTTTTAACTATTATGTCTTGTGTTTCTTTCTCTCTTGCTGCGGTCAACACATCTGTGCATGGACCGTAAGTCATTACTTATCGGCGTGAATAGCCGCGTCCGATCCCCGATCCAAGATCGCGATGCGTGGAGCGTGGATCGTACTAGGCCGATCCAACAGCAATCTTTTGCGATCCTGAATGGCTGATCCAACACGCTCCAGCGGATCCATACTGAATCAGATGAACTTTGTCTGCAGATCAATTTGACTTTTGTTCATCACAAATAGTAGGCAAACTAGTCGTAGTTTGCCTACTATTTGTGTATATCATTAGGATTCCATAAACATTTATTCTCCCTATAAAGGGGTTATAAACGAAGACATTGCGAATTATCCATAACGTTGGATCACGCGATTCAAATCACAACCGTCCACACCGCGCGCGGCAAGTGACTGAGGCCCCTTTGAGCGTGAACAAAAAACCGACAACAAATGGATCGCAAGCGGTGTGGAGCGCGCGCACCCGCGTCGTGCACACCGCCTGCACATTTGCCAAACATGATCGTTCGGTGTGGACGCGGCTAATTATGACACTGAGACCGGCCTAGTCCTTGAGACAAATATTATATTATTTTGCATAATAGAGCCCTCTCTGGACACAACATTAATAAAAAAGCCCCTATTCGCTGGCCGCCTGAGCTGAGAACAGAAACTGTTGGCCGCCCCCTATGTAGGCCGCCCCCTATGTTTTAGTTCCATTATTCTTTCCTACCTTTAGGGGGTGTAAACTTTTACGCTAATTAATATCCAATAATGTAAAATAAAAATATTAGAATGGCTAAAAACTCAAAAATATAATGAAATAGAAAACTTGTTTGGTAATATAAAATAATAAAATTAGGCTAATTAAAATTTCTAACTTCAGTCCGTAATATTGTTCAAAATTTAATTTAAATATAAAATCTTATCAATAAATATTAGTTTACATAGACGACTCATTGGTCTAGTCGTTAGTACCCCTGACTGCGAATCTATGGGTCCCGGGTTCGATCCCCGGCTGAGACGAACATCGATTTGATGAGCATTTGGTGTTGTGCTTAGGTCTTGGGTGTTTAATATGTCTATCTATCTATAATATGTATGTATATCCGTTGCCTAGTACCCATAACACAAGCTTCACCGGCTTACATGGACTAGGTCAATTGGTGTGAATTGTCTTTAAAAAAAAAACATATTTACCTAAATAACGACACTAAATTCATATCTCGTATCTTAGTTTCTCATCCACAAGACTTTGAAATCTTTGTCGAAGTTCACAATTTACTACGGTCTAACCAATTGCAACAACTTAAATAGATTCTACCTTCATTTAGTTTATTAAAAATAAAAACGAATAAACATCTAATGACAAACAAATTAACCAATTTGTTAATGACACTGGAAGGAACTAGCGTTTAAGATACAGGCTTGGCCTAGTTTAAACTTTAGTGCTCATAGTAGTATATTATGTATAAGGTTAACCACAATTAATATTGTATCTCAACGATTCGTAGCCCAGTGTATGTTTACAATCTTTTAAATGTAAGAACAAAATATAATATTTTTGAGTGCAATAAAGTAATTTTTATTTATTTATTATTATTTATTTTAATTGCAATGCATTAACCTTGAAACAATACAAGAATTTTCAGGCCTAGCTAAATTAAGTCAAATATTTGATTTGGATTTGCTTACCCTTGATTGATAGTTCAGGTTAAAATGTCTAAAAATTGTTTTAAAATTTATTGAAAAATTCTTTATAATTTGAAAAAAATTGCTGTCACTTTGTGGGATGCAAACGTCATAGATTGTGCGGTCACGCGCATCAATTGTTTACAGGTCTTTTGGGTCATACCCATAACGAAATAATGATAGTAATATTATATTACAATTAAATGACTTTTTTAATAATTCTTAGTAAAATTCGGTAAAATTGAAATAATTGTATTATTTATATACATGACTAAGATACTCAAAGCCTTGTGTTAAACTTTACCTTTTCAGGAATCTTTATTAAAACATTGCTGAAAACTTGATATTACAGAGGATCACTTATCGAAAAATGAGGTAATGAATATTTTTCACTTAGGGGTCTACACTAGTACACGCAAAATTGTTATGATTTATGTATATAAAAATGTTATATCGTACAAATTTATCTTGATATCCTCAATAAACAACTATAAATAGTATGTGTTACAAGAATCACAGCACCAATCTAGTGGATATTATGAAAAATATACAGGATGTAGATTTTATTGAATTTTAATAAAAATTATTAAAAAAAATAATTTTCTTATAAAACCAAAATAAATCATAACTTAGGGTTGACCTTAGAACCTCCGTAAAACAATTTTTTGCTGATGACTCATCTATCCCCATTTGCGTGCCGAGCCACCCTTCATAAAATTTATTTATGTATAATATACCTTTATCTGTAGTTCATAAATTTTTGACACTTGTTGATGGACCCGTTTTTCACAATCTGTTGAAGGCGGAATATTTATTTCTTCTCTGTGCTCTAAATCCACAGACTCCGCACGGGCTAAGAGCCATTTGTCAACATAATTTAATCGCATAGCCGTATTCATCATTGTGTCCTGAAAAAGTTTTTATATATTATAATACTTGCGTTGGACATAATCAGTAAGAGCAGCCTGGCTTGATCGTGTCGTAGTTTCGAACCCCAAATTAAACCAACGGAGTAGTCCAGTAAATAATTATTCCAGCATGCCTTAGTCCCAAGAGAAAAGCCACTGTCAGATACGGAAGACCTAAACCCGTATTCAACGTAGAGCGGTTCGGATCCAGTCACTTTCCCAGCGGCCTGATCCCTTTGCGTTTCGTAGAGATGTGGGGTATCTGCATCTTCTACCGCATTTACCACAAAGAGTGTTCAGAAGAGTTGTTCGGATTAATACCGAGTTTCATTATCGGACGTCGAGGCAGAAAACGAAATTCCTCCCGTTTTTAAGGCACAAAGTACCTAACATATCAGAAGTAAAACTTTTCTAGCAAACTAATTTTTAAGTCTTGTTCATATTTATACGGACGGAGGGAAAAAGGATGATATCATAGGAATTTAATGAATTTTGTCATTAAAATATTAGAAGTGTCGAAAATTAATATTAATTATAATTTTTTTAATTTTTTATTTATTTCTTCGATAATAAAAACACGTGGCATTTTAATTTACAATTCGACATTTGAGATTCGATTAAATTATTTTGCATAAAATATAAAAAAATTAATTTTAATAATAGAATTTCTATAATTAATAATAATATTATTAATCGGTAATGGTAATTCGCCCTTCTCACTCTATCTCAATCGCACTCTCCCTTTTCTTAGACAAAAACGAAAACATCTTCGTGACGTTTTTGTAAAAAATTACCCTCATGCGCCTAAAGAAGTTTCACTTCAAAAATTCCATGCACACTCGAACAAAGTTCTGGGCAAGTTTTCTAAGAAATATAAAAAACGGAGGTAGACTAAAAGTTTATTTAATTTAGAAGTACCTTTATGATATCCTTAAGCAGAGCAGTATTGAGGTCACAATGGCGTAGTTTAGCTTCAGATTCATGTCGTCTCTTTATTAATTGTGTTGTTATTGCTTCTAGGGAACTGTAAAAAAAATTAAGCTCTCCCCCCCCCCCACCCCCCATCTCCCCATATTCTCCCCCCCCCCCCCCCAAAGCCCCCCCTCCCCCCCGTTTTTCAACTTAAAATGATGGGTCACTGTATTTTTAATGAACAGGAGGTCCGCGTTTGGTTGCCCCTGGCTGCCGCCCTTCCCCCCCCCCTCCGGGAGGGGGCCCCCCAAATGGGCTGGTAGGCTTAAACAAGATCTGTTGGGTTGGAAAAGTTGATACTGTGGCAATACCTGTTTCGCCTATCATGAGGCATTTGGAACACTTGTCGTTCATCGACGAATGTTGCAGACTTTCTCATGGGTTTTATGTTTAGCTTTTTATAATAATATAAAATAGTCGTAAGTTTATATAACTTAATGATGGATTATCTTTCTGCAAGGATTAAAATATATTACGTCACGCAATTTTTTCACGAGATTCTTGTTCGTAACGTTCGTATCTTTAATAACATAGCAATTATCCAAATCAAGACTCAGCAATAAAAGACCACCTCCTAGTTAACGAGTGAATCTGCCCAGAACTTAAATAATGTCGTCCAAGAACGTATCTTAAAAGCCCTCAAAAAACCCCCCCGGCCCCCCCCGGGGGGGTTGCGGGGGGGGGGAAAAAAAAAAAGGGGGGGGGGGGGGGGGGGGGGAGAGAAACACCCCCCAAAAAAAAAAAAAAACACCCCCCCCCCCAAAATATAATTTTTTAAAAAAAAAAACCCCCCCCCCCCCCCCCTTTTTCAAATGGAAGACCACTCAAGTTCTACTTAGCTAATTCATCCTTGAAGCTCTTCAATTACCCACGACGTGCTAAATTGTATCTTTAGTATATAAGTTCTCATGTAAGTGACTATTGTCTGTTATGAGAATAATAATAATAATAATAATCAGTGGCGCTACAACCTCTTTAGGTCTGGGCCTCAGAATCTGTTTCATGAGCATTTTTCAATTTAATACCCAAGTAGGTGATCATCCTCCAGTGCCTGACACACGCCGTCGCCTTTTTGGGTGTAAGACATGTCGGTTTCCTCACGATGTTTACCTTCACCGTTCGAGCGAATGTTAAATGCGCACATAGAAAGAAAGTCCATTGGTGCACTGAGGATCGAACCTACGACCTCAGGGATGAGAGTCGCACGCTGAAGCCACTAGGCCATCACTGCTCAACTCACTTTTATGAGAATAAACCTAACATCAGGTGAGCCTCCAGCGCGCTTGCCCTCTGTTCTACAAAAATCCTAACTCTGTGGTTTGTATAAATATAACCATAGCAGTCTTAAGACTACTAAAAAGAAAGAATAAAGAAAAATATAATAAATTAAAATTTTACTTATAAAGAGGTAAATCCTTCTAAATTTGACGACTCATTGGTCTAGTGGTTAGTACCCCTGACTGCGAATCCATGGGTCCCGGGTTCGATCCCCGGCTGAGACGAACATCGATGTGATGAGAATTTGGTGATGTGCTTAGGTCTTGGGTGTTTAAATATGTATTTATATGTCTATCTATCTATAATATGTATGTATATCCGTTGCTTAGTACCCATAACACAAGCTTCACCAGCTTAGCATGGGACTAGGTCAATTGGTGTGAATTGTCTTTAAAAAAAAATATAAACATACGATTTTAATTCTTCGTGGCGTTTGCGCAGTTGCGTTTGATGTAAAGATGTTCTCTGCAATAGCGTAATGGCGTTTCGAAGTACGGACCAGTCTTCATCATTTATCAGCTCCAAAAGGGTTTGTCTGAAGACATCCTTCAAGAGGTATCTTGAAACATTAAATACGCAACTAATTTTCGCAATTACTACATAAAAATTGATATGATACATAATTACATTTTTTTCACTATATTTCGAGGTTTTTGCAGTAGTGTTAAGTGAGGGACTGCATCTAAATCTAAGTTGCACTAGTGGCTTCAGGGTGCGACTCTCATGGGTTCGATCCCCAACCAATGCACTTTCTTTCCATGAGCACATTTAATATTCGCACGAACTGAAAGAAAACATCGTGAAGAAACCCAAAAAGTCGAAAAAGTCGAGGCTGATCACGTACTTGACTGTTAGATTGACAAGTGATCATGAAAAGATACAGAAATCTGAGGCCCAGACCTAAAATGGTTGAAGGGCCACTGATTTTTTATAGATTTGACTAACGCTTTTTTTTTTGAGTTTATGGCCTGGTATCTTGCACCTCCTGGCACCTTTAGGCCATAACTACTAACGTTTTGTGTCGTAAATACACAGACAAAGCCATATCGGCTTGTAATAAAATAAACCATTTATAATAAATATATCTAATCGACAAAGTGTGTAAATGTATACATTATTAGAGTTTTTGTAGTGCCCTATCAGCTATAGGCTATAGCTTCAAATAAATAAAATCATCTTAACCAGAATACAGGAATGACATTAATAACGCCATCTCGCGTATTTTAACTTACCGCTCCCGCGTAAGCTTGTTCTGTTGGTGACTCTCCTTTTTGCTACAGGTGGCGTAGTAGAGCTCATTGTACTTTGCACAGCTATCTGAACGTAGTTATAAGAAATATCACTAGATGGCGTTGTTCCACAATGATTTATCTTATTAATGTTGACTAAGTTCATTATAGCCTCACGAGATGGCGCTTATATAAATATAGTTTATTAAGAATTTTTGTCACTAGATGACACAAAAATATTCTGTACTATGTCAATCAAGATCAACAGTGACCCTAGATGGCGCTTATATAAATATTAATCTGATTACAAGCTTCATTTTAAAGATAATGACACTTATTTGTATGCCGATAGATAGAGCCACAAGCACGAAAGTTTATTAACTATTTTAAGATTTAATTCATCTTAAAAATTTTATTATACTTATAATAAAAACTACAATACGCAATACAATTTAAAATTTCAATGACATTTTATTGTTCCTTTTATTTCGATACAAATCTTTATAACATAAATAAATCGCAAACTTTGTTGCTGAGCGTAAAACTCGAAAACGGCTGGACCAATCGAGTATTTTTTGATTAATCCTTGAAGTCTGTGGAAGGTTTTTATGATGAGAAAAATTATAAGGTCTTAGGTTCGTGGTCGAAACAATAATTATATCAAATCAAATGGAAATAATGGAAGCAAGTCAAAGAATTAATACTTTAAATCTCTTACCTACAAGTTGTATTTGTAAATTAGCCGTCTCTAAGTTGATAACAAATAGAATGATGTCAATCTTTGCAATTCTGAAAGTAGGAGCACAAAATATTAGAAACATAATTATTTTTTTAATAAGGATATTGGGGAGCTAACGCACAGAACGAACAGCCAACGAAAAATGGACAGTTGGACACCCATTAGTGGGAGCGATGCCGGCTTATGAGCGAGGAGTATGCTCTCTTTCTAAACAATTGACCCTGGGAAAACCATCGGGAGCCTTCTTCCATGATTTACTAGTTAGTTGCCGAGTGAAGTGTGTGGGAAGACTTAGACTGGTCAAAGAGGCTTAAATTTGCTGTGATCCCTGAGATTGTAGATTTGACCCAGTCCGTGTAACTTTCAGTCCGTGTAATTAACACTCGCTAGTGCAGCGAAACGTTTCGTGAGGAAACCATTCTTTAGAAGATAGACCCAAATGTCGACTTATATCAGTCACAGAAGGCAGATCACTTGTATGCTATAAATAAAGATATATATTTTAACCTAAGAGGTTGTACCTCAAAGCCAATTTGAAATGTAGCCCCATTCAATATATTTGCAAATAAAGCGAGCTTTTTCTATGTAGGTATGTTGTGTGTGTGTGTTTTTTTTAAATTATTAAATAATAATAATAATAACAACTTTATACATTGAATTCTTTTATCTTGTTTTCCTTTTTGTGTTAAAAAAACAATTCCTGTATTTTTATCTAAGTCTTCTGTTTCTTGCCTGCTATTATACTCTTTTACTGTAATATACAATTAATTAATAAGCGTAATGTATTATTGTATTGATATACTTTCTCTTTTCTTATTCAGAAATAAATATCCTAAGCTGTATAAAGGTTGCAACACAAATCTTAATGAGAAAACTTACTTTTGCTCCTCCATTTTCTAATTAAACTTATCACACAGATATAAGAATAAAAACGTGAACCAGAAAGCTTTACAGTTAAAAATCAACGCTTGATTGGTCTGCTCGCTATTGAAACAAGCAACGCAATGTTTGTTTTTTAATAGCACTTTTGAAAATAAATTAATATCTATATACTGCGTTGCAAACAATTTTCCTGGATGTATGACGTTTGAACTCTATTACAGCTGACTGATTTACTTATATTAATTCAAATAACATCATTGAATCACTAGTTTTAACGCCGATGTCTTACGCAAACAGTTTTATCGCTTAACAACCGTTTGATTGGTCGATAAATCGCAAATAGCGGAGTTTATTGATGTTTTATTTACTAATCGATTTGAACTCCTATTTGTTAATGTATTTTTATTGTGTATTATATATGTACAGTCAAAAATTCGATGTCGTAACAGATTTTGACTGTATTTCTTTTTAACACAAATATACAGTATTTTTAACCTAAATAGTAATATTGATAATTATAAATTTATAACCTTTAATGTTGGAATTTTCTCGCTGTATTACGATACTTAATCGAGGAAAGCACCAGCTCTCGGGTCACCGGTTTTACCAGGCGAAAACTGAAATCTTGAATTAGCTGTGCACTTGAACCCCACGGCCCAAAAGTCTCTACTCCAAAGGGGACGAATTTAAAGTTGCAAAAAGGACAATTTGAGCCGTTTATTATTTTCCACCTGCTGCAAATAACTGTAAATTATAAGTATTTGGTATTCAGAGGAACATTAGATGCATCTTATAAAATTGTAGAGAGGAAACATTTGTATAATTGTATGTTTGTAACGAATAAACTTAAAATATTTCACAATTACAATTCTACATTATTAAAAAAAAAAAATTGTGGCCCTACAACTATGAAGTCCTGGGCTGTGTCTGTTTCGAGATCATTTGTTTATTCTAATAAGCAAATAGGTGATTACCGTTCACACGCCGTCGTACGGTCCGCATACCGGTATTCCTTCAACATACTAGCGAGTGTGAACATGCGCACAGAACTGCCTGGCGATTCTGTAACTCACTTTTCGAACTCACACTGCGGTTTTCGCAGCGGCGGTTGCGCTCAAATCAGTCGTGAAGCAGTCATTTTACGATTTGGCGTTCTGATAAACAATAAACTACAAGCTCCCTCCTTATTGTGAAGTGAGTTACAGAATCGCAAGGCTGTGTACTCATCACTGCCTCATGCCGAAATTATACTTCGGCTAGTCAGTAACTCTGCCCTTCAGGCGATTGACGAGTGAGAGGTCCGAGTACCGCAGGAGAAGCCCTTGTGCTAGTCACAGGAAACTGACCGAGCTACCTTCGCAAAAACAGCACGAGTTGAGCTGACAAGACACTTTTTTTGGCGTCGGGACGTGACGACCCCATCGCCCACTGGTGAAATAACCTGTGACAGAGGTTATTTCATCAGCGCAATCAGTCAACCCCTTCCTAGTGGGAGTGCCATGCTGTTGCCTTCGGGCTTCAGCCAAATGGGCAGGCACGACCGGGGCAGTACCACTGTCTCTTAGAAAACCGGCGTGAAGTGAGGCAATAGGTTCGCCTTATTGTACTCGCGTTTCGTACGGTGAGGGAGACTCCCGGAGCCCATCCCCCCCCATATGAAATATGAAGGTGCAGAACAAACAGAATCTACCCCAGGGGGGTACCACACGCGAACGTGGTGGAGAATCCCCCTCTGAGCGTCCAACACCGGGACACTCAGCACCCGGTGGTGGACGCACAGGCTGCCCTTCGTATTCTGGGGGGGGCAATTCTGCGCTCAACAAAAACAGTTATCGTTCTCGGGGCAAACGGAGCAATTCAACAAAGGCACCCCCGTCCACGCTCGCCGTGGACTTCACAAATGTTAGGGGGCTCAATTCCAATATCAACGCAGTCCACTACCATTTAGAGACTGCGAAGCCGGCCTTGCTCTTTCTTACCGAGACTCAGATTTCCTCCCCGGCTGATACTTCCTACCTCTCCTACCCGGGGTACAAATTGGAACATTCATTTGTGCCGCGGGCGGGAGTTTGCGTGTACGTCAGAGAGGATATCTGTTCTCGTCGCCTCGGGACGCTTGAAGGAAGGGACCTATCTAACCTCTGGCTGCGCGTTGACTGCGATGACCATCCGCGATTCTACGCATGCCTGTATAGGTCCCATAGCGGAAATACCGAAACTGACCGACTCATTGAGCACATCCAAATGGCTACAGATTCCCTGCTCGAAAGGGTTCCTACCGCTGAAATCGTGATACTTGGCGATTTTAACGCCCACCATGCCGATTGGCTCGGCTCTGAAACCACCGATCACGCGGGAAGATCCTTTCACGACTTTGCTTTAGCCTACGACCTGACACAAATGGTCCCTGCGATTACGCGAATACCAGATGTGGATGGTCATAAACCCTCTTTGTTGGACCTTCTGCTGACTTCACATCCGGAGAACTATCAAGTCTCTGTTGACCCGCCATTGGGTTCATCGGATCATTGTGTGGTCCGGAGTACTGTGCCATCTACGCGCCCTTCACGGCCCCGCTTTATGGGTTGTCGCCGTATTTGGCACTATAAGTCAGCAGATTGGGACGGGATGCGGTCTTTCTTTGCGTCCTACCCTTGGGGGCCTATGTGCTTTTCGCCGGAAGCTCCAGATTCCGTCGCCGCCTCTGTCGCCGAAGTGGTTCTGCAGGGCATGGAACTCTTTATTCCATTTTCTGCGGTGCCGATCGGTGGCAAGTCTCAGCCCTGGTTTAAACGTTCTTGCAAGGTGGCCTCGCGTCGAAAGCGAGAATGCTTTAAGGCATGGGCGGAAGCGGCGAAATCTCGTGATGCCAATACCAGCGAACTTAAAACAGCATATAACTCAGCCTCCAGGTTCTTCAAACGGGAAATCACTAAGGCAAAGTCAGAGCACATTGCCAGATTTGGCGAGAGATTGGCCCAGCTCCCATCAGGGACTCGAGCCTTCTGGTCTCTCGCCAAAGCTGTCCAAGGGAATTTTTGTCAGCCCGCCATTCCGCCACTGCACAGGGAGGATGACTCTCAGGCCCACACTGCGAAGGAGAAGGCCGACCTTTTGGGCTGTCTCTTCGCGTCCAACTCGACTTTGGATGACCAAGGAAGATCACCACCGACCATTTCGCGGTGTGATTCTTCGATGCCGGAAATCACATTCCGGCAACGTGCTGTCCGCAAAGCACTATCTTCCTTGGACATTCATAAGTCGAGCGGGCCGGATGGTATCCCCCCAATTGTGCTACGTACTTGTGCTCCTGAGTTGGCTCCGGTCTTAACGCGCCTTTTCCGGTACCTGTACTCGCTCGGCACTGTCCCGAAGTGCTGGAAGACCGCTTCGATACATCCGATTCCTAAAAAAGGCGATCGCTCTGATCCGTCCAACTATCGCCCAATAGCTATAACCTCCTTGTTCTCCAAAATAATGGAAACCATTATTAATTGCCAGCTCTTGTGGTATCTAGAGGGCCACCAGTTGATTAGCGATTCTCAGTACGGCTTTCGTCGTGGTCGCTCAGCTGGTGACCTCCTTGTATACCTTACCCATAGGTGGGCAGAGGCAATTGAGTCCAAGGGGGAGGCGCTGGCGGTAAGTTTGGACATAGCGAAAGCCTTCGATCGGGTGTGGCACAGAGCACTGCTCTCGAAGCTTCCAGCCTATGGGCTTCCCGAGAAATTATGCGATTGGATCTCCAGCTTTCTGGCCGATCGGAGCATCAAGGTCGTCATCGACGGAGCATGTTCCGACCTTAAACCTGAGAACGCTGGGGTCCCACAAGGCTGTGTTCTATCCCCGACCCTATTTCTTTTGCATATCAATGATATGTTGCAACTTAGCAACATTCATTGCTATGCGGATGACAGCACTGGGGATACTTTTTACACTGGCCGGGCAGGTATTTCTCGGGCAATTGTTGATGAGTACCGGAACAAACTTGTGTCTGAAGTCGAAACTCTACTACGTGGAGTCTCAGACTGGGGCAGACAAAACCTAGTCCAATTTAACCCCAAGAAGACACAAGTTTGCGCGTTTTCCGCTAAAAAATCACCCTTTGTCGCTACTCCTCTTTTCGAAAACACTCTTCTTAAAGCCACAGCCAGCATTGGAATACTTGGCGTTGACATATCGAACGACGTTCAGTTTCGCGGTCACTTGGAGGGAAAGGCTAAATTAGCCTCCAAAAAGCTTGGTGTGCTCAGCAAGGCGAGGCGGTACTTCACTCCGGGCCACCGCATGCAACTATATAAAGCGCAAATTCGGCCCCACATGGAGTACTGCTCTCACCTCTGGGCGGGGGCTCCCCAGTACCAGCTCCTTCCACTTGACCGTATACAACGCAGAGCGGTTCGAATCGTCGACGACCAATCCCTCTCCGAGCGGCTTGATCCTTTGGCGTTGCGTAGAGATGTGGGGTCACTCTGCATCTTCTACCGCATTTACCATGGAGAGTGTTCAGAGGAGTTGTTCGGATTAATACCTGCAGCTGAGTTTCATCATCGGACGTCGAGACAGAATATGAAATTCCACCCGTATCACCTCGACGTCCGCCGTTCCACAACTGAGCGTTTTTCAAGGCAGTTTTTGCCGCGCACCACCACTATGTGGAATCAGCTGCCCACTGAAGTATTTCCGAACCAATTCGACTTAGGGTCCTTCAAGAAAAGAGCGTACCAATTCTTAAAAGGCCGGCAACGCACTCGCGAGCCCTCTGGCATTGAGAGTGTCCATGGGCGGCGGTGTCACTTAACATCAGGTGAGCCTCCTGCCCGTTTGCCCCCGTTCTATAAAAAAAAAAAAAAAAAAAAAACTTCCATTCCAAAAAAACTAAACCTACAAGCTTGCAAGTTCATTGGTAGACGGGATTCGAACGCATGACTTAAGACCTCTTCAATTAATAGTAGTAACATAGGTATATGTTTCCCAACATATTAAAAAAAAGTGCGTGCGTACAAAATAC